TTTATTTTTCAACCTAACCGGATGAGAGAAAGTAAATTAAACAAGGGATTTTTAACGTTATCATTAATTAAATAATTATACGAAGTAAAGAAAAAAAATATTGAAACACATAATATTATAATCGAATATCAGTTTAATAATTTTGACTAAAAACTCTAACAACGCTTTTGTTTTTTTATTTATTTAAAACTTTTTCACGTGAGGGTCGTTTTCAAATAAAAGGTTTCGTTTCCGTCTATGATACCATAAAACATGTCAACGAAGTAGTAAATCACAAAATCCAATCGTTTATAAGTTGATTTATATACGTTGGGAAATTTACAACAAAAGTTTTTTTTTTTTAATTCTTTTTTTTTCGTTTTTAACGAATATTATATCAATCAGTTACTTGGGAATGCTGCACTTTGTACACAAATCAAAATAATTTCTTCTATATTATGTTATTCTCTCCTGACTCTAGTTATATTTCTATTAAATGGTTTGATCGTTCAATGACGTTTACGCGTTGATACTAATTTTAAGTAGAATCGAACTTATGACGTCACAATAATATTGTTAATCTGTGTATAAAATCTATATTTACTCTCCATCACCAACATAAAATGTCATTACCAGTCCCGTACATGTATATAGTCAATATTCTTGGCCAGTACCGTAGCCAGGACTTTTTTTCAGAGGAGGCTGCTATTTTATTGTTAGTTCTCGGGTACTACTGGTACTGCCCGGTATAGCAAGTTCGATATGTCGGTGTGAGCTTGAGCCCCCCCCTTCTCACCTCGCTATGACACTATCCTAGCCACTATCAACAGATTCCCCTCTGCTTTTAACGAGTTCACTGTTCATCAAACCTGGATACGGTCATACAAACTTTCCACGCCGGTCGTCGTTTCACATAATTCAATAATTGTGTCTCCCTTCAATCTGTGAACACTGTACATCCCGTCCAGCCAATCAAAACACCGTTGGGCTGACGACTGAAACTTGTTTGAAAACCATCGAAGATCTGCCTTTGTAGTTCCGTCGCCCGGCGCGAAAACGCATTTTCACTTCTCGTCCGTTATAATATAACTTTTTTTCTATTACTCACGTTTTTTTCTCACCGATAACATTTTGGATGCCGATGTAAGGACGTGTTACTTCAATTGTTATTAAAAGCACAACCTATACAATATTTGTAGAACGATTAACACCTTCATCACGGACGGCTGAATACAAGATGGACGAAGCCATTAACGAATATTATTGACAGTATCGAAATCGGCCACGATGTCAGGAGAATGGATATGCAAATTTGCAATATCATAACCATTAATCCCTTCGCTTTATAAAATCGTAAACTTTGGAAAGACATGCTTCCAAAATAATGATTTTCGAGAATTTTTTAATTATAGTTTGTATTCAGTGCTTTAGAACACACGTTTTGAAGAAAAAAATCGCATGGGAACTAAACTGCATTTGTACCAAATGCTTCCCTTTTTGTATTGAGTAAGTCAGTTAGCCTTAAAAAGACTAAGAGCTCACAAATTATTAAATAATGTACATATTATTGTTAGACAAATATCGTTAATTTTATTCGGTGAGATGATCAAACAGTAATAAATAAAAAGTATTAATGTTTTAATGTTTATATATATATATAATATATATATATATATATTAGTAATTCCACACATTAGATAAATACTTGACGATATGAAATAATGTTTTACGAGAACAAGTGAATTGATTCGTTATACAAATATTAAAATATTGATTTGTACCTATGTTTGAAAAGAATCAGGATTATACTTCTAACATAATATGCACATATTACATAATATGTATGTATATTAAGTATGGTATAATTTTTATTATAAGCACACTTATTGGTATGTACGTTTAAATAAATACCAAAAAAAGACTGAATTTAAAGAGCTACTAGTTTTTTTCAAAATAAATAAATACAATATTATCAATAGTTTTTCAMCTACAAAATTAAGTGTTAAAATTATTAAATGTGAGTCATACATTTTTTTGTTATTAGCTCTTCACAAATTTCATATTTTTTATAAATTTGCTTTATGTGACTATTATAATATTCGTACGTATAATAAATCTTTAATTGGTATTTTTTCAAATTTTTATTCTTATGAATATTGTTTTCAATAAATAAACATTTTAAACACTTATTGAAAAAATAATATTTTCTGCATATTTCAAAATTATCAGTTATAAAAAAACATGGTTTAGAAATTTTTATTTTCGAGATAATTTTATATAGGTTTTTTGATTTATCGACAATCTGCAAAGCAGAACATTATACTATCATAGTGATTATATACGAGTATACAATTATTTTATTTTTTTTTTAATGATGGGAAGTTCTCAATTATATAGACTGTACAAAATGCAAGGATTTTTGTCGTTTACATTGTTTACACTCTAACTGGATCGCCCTCTTTTGCTAATCATTAAACGAAATTTCGTATTTAATAACTTTTCGTTTACATGAACTCTACTGACTAAAGTTTCTTGTTTGAGATTATTTATAAATTTTTGATACAAAGCGATGTATATTAGCATCCATGTAAAAACACATGTTATGATTTGATTAATTTACTTAAAATCTTTTTGAAAGAATTTTTTGTCGAATGAAAAAGCTACACTCTGTTCCATTTGACATTTTATCTGATATTAAAAATAAGGTTTAGTGGCTTTTGGTGTGTCACGGTCGCTACAATCATTTATGTAACACACAGCCCGCTGCCACTAGTTCCCGGATGGGTGAGCACTCAGGTTCTAAGTGCCATAAAGCTTGCCACACATACACGTGTTCCAAACTAATCATACAATTCCTCGCAGTTAAAAAAACCGACAAAAATAACCACCAAATAGCCTATTTTGGCATGGGATAATTAATAAAAAAAATAAAAACATGAGGTTTGATAAACTTTAAAAATAACGTTTATAGTTCAACAATATTATTCAGTATAATATTGTGGTTCGTATTTAATTAACCAAAGAAAAATGTCAAACAATTTTTTTATGTATTCTCAAATGATTCATGTGTTAAATTTTATCTAATGTTAGAGTTATTTTAAGAACATAAATATTTATTTATTGATTATTTAGTTGGTCAACATTAATTGATTAAGACACGTGAGGTATGAGTTAGGTGGGTTTATACAAATTTTGATTTATTTTCTCCTCCATTTGTTATATAATTAACTGATAATTTAAATGAATCAATGATGTAAAGTGAATAATGTTATTTATGAAAACGTCTACGTTTTGATTATATTTTATAAGGTTGTAATTAAAAATTATTTTTTTTTTTACTAACATAATAACCACTTAAGTTTATTACATAGGTAAATTTTAAATCAAATATAGAAATAATATTCTACAAGAGTATAAATATTTGAAACATGCTAATTATTATTAGGTACATATTTTGTTTTTGTTTTAAATGCTATGTAGGATATTTTAATCAAAGTGGTAATAGATGTCCAAGTGCCAAAAAAAATAAACTCACTGAGTATAATAAAATAAGTAAGCTAGATAATAAGTATCTTTTGTACAAAAAATATATCATTACCGTACTAAATATAAACTAATACACCAGGCTAGTTTAATACTTCTTAATTGCTTTGTATTTTATTTAAAAATTGTGGGCATAAAAAAATTGATTTTTTTTATTGATAATAAGATATCAAAAACTAGGCCATTAGCCTACGGTAAGTTTACATTGTTATATAAAATTAAGTTATAGTTGAGAATTACATAATTATGGGTTAGTAGTTTTTACAGTTTTATACAATATTTACAATACAGTTATTAGTAGTGAGATTGTTTACGGTATTAGATTTTGGTGTTGATGTTAATATATTTAAAGGAGCTATGTATTAAGTGAGTATTGTGTTCTCTTAGTGCTTCCTCCATCGATGAAGGTTGGTTGAGGATGTTTCGTGCGTTGACATACAGTGGGAAATCTAGAACTATGTGTTTGATCGAGAGCGGTTTGTTTCATTGGTTACAGAGATGAGTGAGTAGGGGTTAGGTTGGTGACTGATTCTTGCTCTTGTGTTGATGGTTTTGGAACGTCTAGAGATATTAGGCTGAGAATACCATTTGGTAATTACCTTTTTAATTGATTTTAATTTGTTTGACATTGGTATTTCATCCCAGGATGTTTGCCACATATTAGTAGTGTGTGTGTGTGCGCGCGCGTGTTTATGATTCTTTTTATATGTTGGTATGAAAGAGCAGTAATGAATGAGGACGAGGTCGAGATGATTGCCTCATTTTCCAGTGAAAATCGGTTATTATGGTATCAATAGTCTACAAATGATACTCCAAAACATTTTTTTTATGTTTTATTTATTTATATGGTAATTATAATATTTACTGTGTATATCGATCCGTTATATGTTATGCAAATGGATAGTTATGTGAGTATTAATATGTTTGAAAAAGTAAATGCAACCATATAACAATGCATATAAATACATGAGGTAACACAAATGTTTAAGATACTATAGTTATTTTAAATTATAATTTCTTAATAATGTAAAACTACATTAGGTATTTGTATTTGTAACATACATATTAATTAATCCTACAATTCGAATGCTTTTCTTATACAAACTTATATTAAATATCAGATTTATAACCATATTAAATATATACATGGCATTCTTAAGCTTGTGCTGCTTTTATTGAGTGTTGTATTTATTATATTTATACTTAATTTGTTATGTATGTCTAATAAGAGAAAAAAATTGTTTTTATTACGAAACTTAACCAATCAATTACCAGGTCACAACATTGAATTGTCTGCAAATAGATTATTTATTCTTACAATATATTTTCAAAATAACGGGGTTATATTTAGTTGTTTTTTTTAGTGTTATGGGTAGGTAACAAAAAGCTAGTTTTCAGACGTTTATTCACTTAACACAAATTATTTACGTACATTGAATTTGCCATTATTTAAATTGTATTGTTTTTGTTTGTTACAGGGGAAGATAAAATGCAACCTCTGTAGGAGGTTTAACGGGCAGTGATGCTGTTTTTCACATTTATTGTCTGTGCAATAGCCGTCAACAACGTTTCATCGAAAATAGGTAAGGTTAAAGAATTAATATGACTGCCTGACTGCCACATAATTAAAACCTCGTTAAACTGCTTTTTGCGCATACAATTATCCACTTTGTCTGGTCCTTATTCTTAACTTTTTACAACAAGTTATCATCAAACAGTTGTGGGCATATAATGTAAGTGTACTGGAATGGTATGAATGCAATGAAACTAGATATATGAACATTGAACATATTATTAGCTATTTGATTTTTCTAGGCGTGGTCTTAGAAATAGCCGCTTAAGCTATTTCGGCTATTCACTCATAATAATATGAAATTTCATCTATTATACCTATATAGTAGTAGTATTTACATCATATATTGAATATCGACATCATAATATAAAAATTTTGTATAAGGTAAATTTTTAAAAGGATGAGTTTGTACTGTAATTCTCCTTTACGTACACTGATTATGCGTCAGTGTGTATTTTAATTTAGTCCTATTTAAACCAAGCTGGTTTGAGACAAAATGCAAGCAACCGTTGTGTTTGCAGCTAAACAAAATATGACTGCCCCATAATAATATAATAATTCTTCGCTGCATCAGCCGCATGTAATATATCATTGGAAAATGCGACATATTATACATAAGTTAAACAATTTATTAAGAGGCTTAAAACGTTTTCTAACCAGCATCATATCGAGCAGAACCCGTGGCTACGAAATCGTATCGCGTTTAACTCAACATAATGCGACGGCGTATATTAATATCTGATTTCGAGAGTTTCCTCGTCCGCCACTACCACAGCCAACCAGCATATATATAATCGAGTGTGCCTCTGCCACCACCACCATTACCACCATCATCAATGATCTAGCTGCAATGCTGCATATATAATATTAAAATATAATACCATCGTCTGCGGGAGAAGTCACTATTTTTCATTTAAAGTACGCGATCGAGGGCGGAAACGATTTCGGTTACCCATCTACCCTGTCTTGTCCTTCCGCTATCTCATCATAGTGTTATTATTAGTATTATTATTATCATAAAAACTGTACGAAAATATCCCTACCAAAACCTGTTTTATCGTCTTTGCCCCCATCGTAATGTTGACATAATTATATCGTTGATTGTTTCACTATATCTCTTTCTTTTTCTCTCTCTCTAGCTCTCTCACCCCATCCCTCCTATTCAATCCCTCTTTTACGTCCTTCCTCTATCTCTCTTTATTATTCGAAACCACCCTGTCACTTTCAAAATGCTCGCCAAACGATGATACTTCATTTTAATTGCAAGCTTTTGGCACAACAAATATATTGTCTCAAAAATATAAAAACGAACAGTCACACCAACGACGACGAAGCTACTTTGCACGCATGTTTAAAATAGTGAAATGCTGGGAATATTTCAAAATGTTTTAACAAAAACAAAATCCCTGATATACGTCTCACGTTTTGATCAGTAGTGAATTATATAGATATATTGTATAATTTATTATGTTGGGTACTACGTATGTGATACACGAATCTTTATTACATTTAGTTGAATTGAATTGATTCAATTTAATATAATAATCAATTTAATTAAATTTATTTTACGAATGAATATGCATGTATACTTGCATTGTAATATTACTAATATTTTCATGGAATAATTAATATGATAATTAAATTTTTACTGAATATTTAAAAAAATTGATGTAGGAAAATAAAATAATATCGATTAAATAGACTATTTGAAAACTCATATGGTTATCCAATTGCTTCGATTGTTTTGAAGATAAATCTTATTATATGTACCAACTACAAATTTAACCAGCCGAAACTTTAGACAACTTTTAAACGAAATCTTTCTTCGCTACGCTTACTATATTTCACTCCAACAACAGCCGGTTGGGTCTTAAGTCATGTAAGTACTATACCTACATGGAGAATGGGGACGACATATTAAACACATTAGATACTCTGAGTTTGACAAATCTCGACCAAGAACTTTAATGGAGCGAATGTTGGCGTCATGTCATAGTCGCGTACCGAATTCCTGACGTATTTTCTCCTGAGGCATTTTAAAAACGCACCTTAAGTCACTTCACTGATTTAAATTGAATACTCTTACAGTCTTACGCATATCGATTATTCTTAAAGTACCAGCAGCCGAAGATACGTATGTCAAGCACTTATAATAACTTATTTGAAGATTTTCTACTTTCTCAAAAACAACATAATATCGTGTAGGAACTGACTCTGGACGGTTTTAACTTAAAATTACGCATGAGTACGATAATCATAATATAATAACTGTACAGTTTCAAGTGGAGTAAAATGCAATCAAATTTTATTTACAAAATAATTAGGTGTCTAATATTTGTCAAAAAAATAATTTAAAAAAAATTTTGAAAACTATATAGATATAATAAATAGTAATTATATGATTATATTACATGAAAACACATTATTAAATACATGATGTGAATTTATTATTTTAAAATCAAAAATGCTAATTATTATATAATATGTGCCGATTCCAAATTTTTTAATTTTATTCGATCATCTTATGCTTATTTAGAACTCGTTAATATTCAAATAAGTAACTAGAAACATAATGTTCATAATTTTTATTATAATATTATTATTATTGTTAATTATTTATTATCCATTGTGATATAATTATTAATAAATACATGGCAAAAATAAGCATCTCAGTACGGCACACTGGTTACGCAATATAGATAAACAAGTGTTAATTAGCTAAACTATAAATAATAATATATTTGTTTCAATATTACAATATCATGCATATTAAACATTCAGAAAACGTAGAAATCTAGTATAATGTAGTAATCTCGATTTTTGTTGAAAATAMAATACCAATGAAATAAATAAACACAGACCACAAAACAATAAAACTATAATAGTAATAACATCGGGGTGTGAAGTTTTAATCTAAGTAGCAAAACAAAAATAAAACCTTTTCCAGTGATTTATATAGGAGATTTTTCGACACTCTTAGAACTCATGCTGCCGCCATATAATATCGAATAGATTGTAATTCACAAAAGAAACGAAGAAGAAAAGAAAGCTACGAAGAGGGGTGCCTTTTTTTCACCCATTGAAATACTTGTCACACACACTCGTATCAGCGGAAAAATGTACACTATTGGCTTTAACGTGTGTACACAGCAGTACAGGTACCCACACAGCGTGCAAGAAAGAAAAAATCCGTCAACGACAGTGTTTGATATTCGCTGCAGCAGAGAGTTCGTTTGTAGTACGCGTGTATATAAGTTGAATACCAAACCAACCTGTAGGTACTACAAGTTGAGTAACTGCCGCGTTATTGAGATCTTCGGCGTGTCTAGGAGTCACTAATAAATCAAAGTGACCACAGATGGTGTGTCAAACCAAAAATTATATTGTCCGACACTTAATTTTCATTACAACAATGACGTATGGATAACGTTGATGGTCACACAATCTAGTTGAGATACCAGTAATTAATTTTGATATTGCAGTATAGGCAATCGACATAGCAATGTAGTTTTAAGAAAACTAAAAGAAGATGAACAATCGGCGTTAATAGACGCTGCTTATGAATTTTGCGGTTTATTGACTGTGGAATGTTCACTAAATGTATCTGAAATACATTTTATATTACGAACAGAATATTACTGAAAAATTAAAATCTGGGTGTTGAATTTAKTTTAATATTTTTTTTTTCAAATTGAGCACAGTTATACTTTCGAAATATTATTTTTGAAATTTTCTAGAAGTTTTCAATTAAATTTATTATCTCTATAAAATACATATTACTATTTTCAAGTGACATATTATTATATTTCCATGATATATACTGATATGTATTTATGCATATATATATTTTTTTAAATAAATTTAGACAAATAGTTAATTGTGTCGTTAAGAAATGATAATTTTTAATCAATAACGATGTGAAAACATATCTTATGAAATTTACTTTGTCCTTGAAAATCTTTGGATTTCGATAAAAAAAAAAATTTGTAATAATCCAATAATCAATAGTTATAATTTTCTAATAACTGAACTGCTTAATGTTCAAGTATACTATCGTATATGTATATATTTTTCTTTGAAATATAATTGTATTATTCAATGTTATTTTAACTATGTAAATATAATCAACAAAACATTTTAATATGAACAGCTCTAAAGTACTACCGCTTTAAGTAGAGTGGAACCCGCTATAAACATGAATTTTTAACCAGCGTACTTCAAATCATTAACAGCATTCATTGAATAGTAAAACTAATAACAGTATTTACAATTATATAGGTAGTTGTTCATTTTAAATATTTACTTTTACAAATGAAACAAGAGATAAAAGAATAATAAATCCTAAAATAAGTTTTATAGTTTCAAAAATAAAATGTATAAGAATATGTTGAATATATTTTAAGTATATAAAAAGCATTGCAATATTTTGCATCTAAGTATTATATATTGATTCAAAAGTGCTCAAAAGATTCACGAACGCGTTGCATTTGAGTGATCCTGAATCAATTGTTGAAACATTTTTCTAATGTACGGTTATCTTAAACTTCGGTCAATGTTTTTATAATAATTGTTAAAAATTAAAATGTTACATACATACTTTTTATTATTATTAGAGTCTCAAAGTATGAATGATAGTTTAAATATTATATTTATTATATTTTAATACGAATGAAATAATTATTCTTCCTAGCAACAATGTGACTGACTTTTTAGTCAAAATTAATCCATTGACTATGTTATAGCGGTCGACGTCTTGACCGGATAACGAAAAAAAAAATTAAACAGAATCGCGAAACAGAGTGGTCAAATTCATTTTTTGTTTTTCAATTTCACATTTTAACTGGTGGTATACTTGAAGTCAAGTAACAATTACGACAACGTGACTAGGCATTAGACCAATTATTTACTATACTTGAGCTTATATAGGCGTACTACGCCGTATCATTATCACGTTTAATTACTAGCACGGTTAACATGTCCCCAATCGATCGTAACATATATTCGGCGCAT